TTGAAATTGTGCCTTTCCTGTGGTTCAGATACTTCATTGGTAGCCACTTCTTCATATAGGGACCTAGAAGCATTGTAAGTATTTTTGTAACAGTACTATTGACAGTAGCCTTAAGTGGGGTCCATTCTAAATGTCATCTTCAGTGGTATCTATACATAATTTGGAGTGTTTCAAACAGTGGAATATTATGCAGCAATGACAATGAGCAAAAAACCAGCTACATGTAACAATGGAGGAGTCTTGTAAACATAAATCTATGTGGGCTTTATTTTCTGTGTCTTTGTAAACAGCGTTGACCTGATGACTGTGTGCTTAGGACGCCAGTTTGGGCTGTTGTGGTGTATGAGACTCCATGCTGGAGACAGTGGCCCCCAGAGGGAAGCAGTTGCTATGGTCCTCTAGAGAGAAAGTGCTGTATGAAATCGGGGGAGTAGCAGTAGCCAGGGAGAGAATGGCATGAATAGATTAAGGGTCATTAGAAGTGAAATGAACAGATTCTGGTGACTGATTGGATATTTGGATATCAATCACAGAGAGAACCATGAAACATACTGCTGAGATTTCTAATCTCATGGATCAGATGGATGGATGTATCAGTGGAATGAGAAGAGGACTTGGGTTTTGAGGTGGTAGATAACAAACCTATATGACGTCAAGCTGTGTGATCTTGGGTAATTTTTTAAAAACTTCCCTTTACTGCAGTTTATGTTTATAGAGAGAAGTAATTTTCAAAACATAATAATCTGGAAGATAGTATATTATCTAGTGTATACAATACATTATTACTATACAGTTTCTTTAGGAGTAAGTATGACCCTGAATGTATAACATCATAAATGCATTACAGTATTTCCTTTGGGTTAACAGACATGAGAGCCAGGTGTAGGGAAACCTGAATTATCTTTAGATCTCTTGAGTGGAACATCATACACTTCAAGTGAGGGTGGGAAGAAAGTCTTAGGCCCAAAGGCCTAACAAACTGAAGTTACACAGTGTGAGGAAAGGAAAACTAAAGAGGTGACTTGAGAAACTTTTAAATGAAAGGGAAGCCCCAAATTAGCATGTACCTTTGCTGAAAATGATTCTTGTACTTTGGTAGCACAGTCTTTTGAAAAATAATGTTGTATTGATATAAAATTATACACAAGGCTTTAATGTTATTTGTCCATAATTACCACAATAATGCATATTATAGAAAATGTGTAAAGCACTAAAAAGAACAGAAGTAAACTGCACTTATAATTCTAGTATGCACAGATGCCGTTTAACACTTCAGCTCTGTCCATTCTTCTGTTCATCCCCGTGCACCTCTCTCTTTCCTTTTTATTTCTACAGAGCTGAAATTAGACTGCATGTTGTCATTGAACCTACTGTTTTGTACAAGAACTTAAGTAGAGGCTAGTCCTAGTGAGAATCCTCTAGGCTAGCTATGGGTAGGAAGAAGGAAAGTACAATGTGCTTTGTCAATGAGTTATTGAGGGAGAATGCAACATTGTCTTGTCTGACAGTCTTAAAATATAATAGGATAAGCTCTCATCTTGTTGATGGCAAGGGCATGACCCCATTTTACTGCCATGTTATCGCCTGATATGTGGACAAACCTTGAATGCTTTTTTGAGGGCTCATTTCTCTTGAAAGTGGCAGAAAGAAATATTGATGAGAATATGGCGTAAGAGAGAATTTTATTAATCCCTCACCTACATTTGCCTCGAGGACTAAAGAGTTCATCTCTCCCCAGAGTGAGAGGCTGCTCAAGTTTGCATTTTTAAAAATTAAAATCACTGTTAAATTCTACTCTGTCTAATCCAGAATAAAGACGCGAAAGATTAGTGTCATTCTGATATAGTTTTACATAAGCAAATCATTTTAAATAGGCTTAAATCTAAAGCTGCCTAGGCTAAAGGTATTTATGTCAGATCGGATGGGATAACTCTGTGTGTGTGTGAGAGAGAGAGAGAGAGAGGGAGAGAGAGAGATGGGGGATGGGGATGAAAGGGTGGGAGGGAGTGGGAGAGTTCTGAAGGCTTCTTTTTACTGTGTAAATGGTCTAATTGGAGACATTACTGCTGCTAGAGAGTTCCAATCATAGCTTGTTGGACCCAGTGCTTTCTCTGTATATCTTTTTGTGTGTGTCAGTGCATGCACTTACATAAGTGTGCATGCACTTACATAAGTATGCATCCCCATACATGCAAAAATGCATACAGGGATGTGTGTCCCATATTCTTTCTATGGTGATGTGGGGAGGAAGGGAAATACTTTCTTAGTGTAGTGTTTTTGATTACCAAGAAGTTAATTCATTTAACAAATATTCATTGAACTGAGTGTAAGCCCTGTGCTGAAAATGGGGGATGAGGATTGCCTAAAAACAGTAAGGATGAGCAAGAGTTTTAGTCATTGGTGCACATATAATTGCCTGTTGCTTGATGTGCACAGAAGAGGCCTGTTTTCTTAAAAGGAAACAGACCATTTGCAATCTGATCTCCTTACCCTTTCAGTCTCGTCTCTTAACATCCCCCACACCTGTCTTTTGCTCCAAATGTTCCTGAGAAGATTATGGGAAGGATTTACCAAGATCTCAACTTTGTAGTAGCCATTTTCAGATAACTTATGGCTGTTCAAATAATCTCTCTTGTTTCATGCCTTCTTACCTTAGTTTTTGTGACTTTTTTTCTTTCAGGTGGCATGCTTTGCCTCTATTTGCTGACACTCACTCCCTTGTCTATTTGTATTTTCCACCAGACAGTGGTATCTGGTATCTTTGAAAACAGAGATCATCTCCTCCCTGTGGCTTCTAGCATGCAGTATAGTGCTTCTCATATAGTAGCCATGCAGTCAGTGTGTTGAAAATGACTGAATAAAGCAAAGTTAAATGTAAGCCAAATCGCTAGTGGTGATGAATACATTCAGCTTTTGTGTCTCTGAGAAAATCAATGTCTTTTTCATTTTTAAAGGGTAGTTTCACTGAATTCTTGGTTTGTAATTTTTTCCTTTTAACATTTTGAATGTAACCACCTATTCCCCTTCTGGTGTGCAAAGTTTCTGCTGAAAAATCTGCTGAAAACTTCACAGAAGCTCCCTTGTATACGATGAACTGCTTTTCTTTTGCTGCTTCAGTAATCTCTGTTACTTTTAACAATTTGATTATAATGTGTCTTGGTGTGGAGCGTTTTGGAAACTGGAGTTTCTTGAGCTTTTAAAGTTGTATGGCCGTTTTCCTTTTCAAATCTGGGAAATTTTGGCCATTATTTCTTTCCGTAGGCTTTCCATCCCATTCTCATTCATTTCTCCTTCTGACTCCATAATGTATACAATTATCCACTTGCTAATATTCCCTAACTCTCTTAGGCTCTTGTCACTTTTCTTCATTCTTTTTTCTTTTTGCTCCTCTGATTCAATAATTTCAAATGACCTATTTTCAAGTTTGCGGATTTCTTTCTTCTGCTTGATCAAGTCTGCTATTGAAACCCCTAGTGAGTTTTTCAGTTCTTGAGTTCTTCACTGGAATTTCTTCTTCTAAAAAAGTTTCTCTTTGCTGCTATTCTAATTTTGTTCATGCATTATTTTCCTGATTTGATTTACCTGCATATTTGTATTGTGTTTTAGGTCGCTGAGCATTCTTTAAGATGATTATTTAAATTATTTATGAGGTGATTCTTAGATTTCTGTTTCTTTAGGATCAGTTTCTAGACTCTAGAATCTAGAGATTATTTGGTTCTTTGATTAGGCCATGTTTCCTTGCTTCACTGTATACTGTATGATACTTTGTTGAGATTTGTCATATCGAAATAATAGGCACGTCTCCCCGACTTCATAGATTGGCTTTGTACAGGAGAATCAGCCTTGCCAGACAGTCTGGGGCCTGCCTCTAACCTTGTGAGATAATATACTTTTTCTACATTTGTGTGTATAATTTCCCAGCTATAGCAGTCTGCCCCCATTTCCAAGAGCCCATGATTGCTTGTTCCCTGTGGATCCGTCTGTGGTACTGCAGCCTTTCAAGCGCTGTCACAGGTGGCTGTGTTTGTTTTTGTTTTTCACGGCCACCAGACATCCAAAGTGTTCTCCTCAGGGCCCTGAGTCATACCTTGGACAACACTTTGTAAAGCCAGGGTGTTGGATTCGCATCTAGCTCTTCCCTTTTCCTCCAGAGGCAGAAACCAAGGATTGGCAGCTTTATCCTGATTGTGCTTATGCTGGGTGGGAGGGGCTGTCACAGATGAATGCCGTGAACTTTCTTGTCTGCGTTGATGTGGCTCCTCTTGGCTTTAACTTTCATGGTGAGCTTCATTGGTTTCTGGAGTTCTCACAGAAACAGTTTGGCTCATCTATTATTGTGAAGTGAGTGTCTCCAGGGGGTATTAGGGCTTGGGGTTTCCTGTTGAACCACCTTACTTATGTCACTCTCCCATTTAGTCCACAGTTCTTTTATGAGATCATATTGGTAGAACTTAATAATTAAAATCAGTAGAGATGGGAGCAGATCTGTTCTCGCTCACCTTCCCCCTCCAGTCGAGGGCTAAAGAAGACCTTCTAGCTTTTTGGCTTTGTAGTCTCTGTTTTTCTGTCTCTCTTTAGTACCTGTGGCTAACATTTAGTAAATGCCTGTATTTGTCAGTCACTCTTTAGATCCCTGTTACGTGTACTAGTTCACTTGTTTGAATAGCTGTAAAAGGAAGATACTGTGGTTGTCCTCATTTTACCTGTGAGAAAAATGGGTTACAGAGATGTTGAATAATTTACCCACAGTCATGCTGCTGATAGTGGTCTCAGACTCAGTTTTTAAATAGGCATTCTGCAGCATGAAGTGAATATTTTTGTTTACCTGATATAAGTCAGCTTGAAAAAAAATCCTTTATTGCAACAGATATTAAATTATTTTGGATATTATTTTGTGTTGCTTATAAGTGATAACTATGCTGCTGGAAATGCCTGAAATTTACATATCCAAATATGGCATGACATCAAAAATGTATTTTTGTTTGTTCATTTTCTTTTAGGACAGAGTTCATTCAAAGAGGCAGGATTTCAATCACAGGCGCCGGATTTCTCAACTGTGTTTTGGAATCTTTTGCCAGTACTTTCTTACGACAGGGAGCCCAGAAGGTAAGCTTATTTCCACTTTGAACCGACATTAATTTTAAGAAACCATGGGGAGTCTACTAGGGTATTGAATAAAACATAATGAAAGAAAAAGTCATGAACATACATAATGAGAAAAAATACTGTTAATAAACAAGTATAACAAAAAATAATCACTCTTGATAATTATTACATAAATCCTAATCAAAGTAAAACTAAAGTACTAATTCAGGCCCATTAAATTAAAAATATGCCAATGAAGAATATGTGACATTATAGAGAATATTTATAGTCTAATTAAGAAAAATAATCAAAAAATATTTATAGTATATATAATACAAAGATAACTATTTAATAAAAATTATAACAATAGTTAGTATTTACTGAGTGCTATGTGCTACTGTCATAAAATTTTATTTATTATCTCATATCACAAGCCCTTGAAATAACTATTATTGTCTATAGTATGATGAGGAAAATATGGACACTGGAATCTGAAGTGTCCATTCTTATAGTTTTTACACTGTGCACTTGAGAGGATTTCATTGAAGGTGTTTCGGAGACCACTCTGGGGTGCAAAGGCCCTCTGTGCCCTGTTTTAAGTTGATCTGTTTTGTATTTGTCTTTAACCTGTTGTATATAGTAACGCACATGACATTTATATATACTATTTTTCTGGCCTTCCTAGTGCGCCTTTTAAAACTTCTGTAGGACAAAATTCATTCTTGTGTGTACCTTCCTATGATATGCCTGCTGCTGTGTTGATTACAAAGCAGGTGTGCCAAAGTGTTTCATTGTTATTGTTAATTGTGACGGTAATTGTACTCACTTATTTCCAGCGTTTACTCAGGATGTATGCATACATTCCTTCATTTTGGTTTTTTTTTTTTTTTTTGGTTTTTCTCTGGTACCGGGAACCAAACTCACAACCTCGCGCTTGCCAGGCAGGCACTTTGCCGCTGAGCTAAATCCCCAGCCCCTCCTTCATTTTGTTTTGTAGATAAAGTTAATGGTTGCTCTAAAGAACTGTTGTGATAACCAGAGATATGTGGCCAATTGACTCTTTTTTTTTTTTAATTTTTCCAAGTTCAGGTTCAACAATGAACCTAGAGCAGGAGGCATCAGTCTGGGGGTGCTGAGGGTGATGAAGGAATATTTGACACTGTCTGTGCCATACGCCACAGACACTGTTGAGGCTGATGATGTGTATTTGGCCCATTTGAGGTGGTTCCTGCCACGCATCTTTAAACCTGGGCTTGAAGGAAGTGGCTGGGCTTTTGGAAGATCTGATGTCACCTTCATACACTGACACATTATTTGTTTATTTTCTTCTCTATCACATTTATGTACATTTATAAAAGTGCCTGTGTTCTACGAAATTGCACTCTATAAAAATAATATCATTTCCTTGTCCCTGTCTGAGTTGATGACTTCCTTAGCCTATAAATCCTGAATTGGGAAAAATATAATAATAATTGAGTATGATTTTTCACAGTGGATCTACTAACCAGAGGAATGGAATCCTTACTTTGGGAGGGCTAATATTTAGCTGAATGAGGGTTCAAGGTTAGTGTTCCCTAGAATCAAATTGATTGCAAGTATTCATTTGTAAAAACTCTTCTTATGTTGTGGGCCATATAAAAACAGATGGTGGGCTGGATTTGGCCTGTGGACTAAATAGTGTTCTATTAACCAAAGTGAGTCTGTATTTGATCTACTGATCAGTCTGAACCTATTAATTTTTTTTTTTTTTCTTTTGAGACAGGGTCTTGTTACGTAGTTCAGGCTGGCCTGGAGTCACTATATAGCCCAGGCTTGCACCAAACTCACAGCGATCCTCCTGCCTCAGCCTCCTGAGTGCTGGGATTGAAGGTGTGCAGGCACACCCTGTTACTCTGAATCATACTGTGGTTGTGTATTTTAATCCTGTGAGATGCAAAAAGTGAATTTAGTCCCATTTTTAAATGAAAATTTACTTGAAGAGTTGAGTACAACCAATATGTCAGTAACTATCTGCTCCTTTTCCTTCTTACAAATTGTTCAGCACTTGCTTTGTGCCAGGAGCTGTGCTTTGTGGGCTAAATGGCTTTACTGAAGGAAATAGAACTAGTAAAACATAAGAGCCTGGACTCAAAGCTCCCCTTCTTGACAGTAAGACTTACTTGTTACTATTCTATTGTGGAGCCCTCATGTGACTCAAATGGAACTCTTACGTTCTGAGCACCATGAATTTCACAAGTGCTACGGGTATTAGCCAGATTTGTGTATGGTCTTAGGTTGTACTTACTGGGCTTCTTTGGTTGCAAGTAACAAAACAACTGGAGGCCAGCTTACTGTGAGGGTACACAGGTAGTGATGGTGGCAGGCTTCGGAAAGGTTTGCCCTGGTAGCCAGAAGCTGCCAGACACCCACAGAGTGTACCTCTTCAGCTTTTGTCTGCAAGATGATGTGTCTGTTTCATTCTTAATTCCTCAGTCTGTTTTCCTCTGCTCCCCAGGCTATGTACTGGGCTGTGGGTCTCCACTGTCCAAGTGCACATACTATACAGAGTTCTGGCCAACACAAAAACTGCCTTCTCAGGCCTTTTCTTTCTGAATTCTCTAGAGGGGGCCTTTGTTGGCCTTCCATACATCAAGCATGAACAGGAAGATGAAAGGTTGTGCAAATATGGAGATCAGGGTTGATGTCACATCTTAGAGAAAGGGCTGGAGAAAGGTGTATGTTCCCAAAGGCTTTGGGGAAAAGCTAGGGATATAGCTCAGTACTAGAGCACTTGGCTATCATGGAAGGGTTTCTGGGTTCAGTCTCCAGTAGTACTAAAAAAAAACACAAAACACCCCTATAGGCTTAGGGTCAGTGGTAGAGCCCTTGTCTAGCGTGTATGGAGCCATGGGTTTGATCCCCAGAATCATCACTACTTAAGAAAAAAAGTCACCAAACGTTTTTGGAATATTCTCAAGTAGATTCTGTCTCTTGATAGCAGAGAGATGGTTTTACTAATCTTAATCCAGATTCCTCAAATTAATACTAATTAATTACTAATTAATTAATACTAATTAATTACTAATTAATTAATACTAATTTGGACAGTGCTCTGTATATCTACATGGAAAGAAATACAAAGGAAATGGAGTGCATCATGAGGTCAGTAGTTGGTTTCTGATGAATATTAGTTGAAAAAAAAACAAGTGACTTGTAAGTTTTTAAAGTGATGAAAGCAAATGACTTCACTTCAATCTCACTTTTTTTTATTATTATTATGCTCAGAAGTAAGGGCACATTTTTATTGCTGGCTTTTGCTTTCTCTGACTTTACTGTTTCTTTTTTAAAGAGGCTAGGTTTAATTAGCTTTTCAATTTTAGGAGCCACTCATGCTTAAGTGTCTTTTGCCTTTTATCCAAGTGGCGATGTTCTCAGGTATCAGCCTGATTTCCCGATGAACCTTCACAGCTGAGCCTGTATTAATGGCCTCTGTGGAGGTCCCCGTGAGAGTCTTAGGTGACTTTATTTTCACTTTTGGACTTTATCCCTGAGGCTGTTTAGTAGTGGTAAAGGTGGGATCTGATAGCTTATTTTTTTCCAGTAAAAGCAAAACTAGGCACTTACAAACTTCATATCACTGCGTTTGTAAATGAAAATCTAGGCCTCCATATGGATCCCAAGTTGAAGTCGCTTGTCTTTGTGCGCCTCTGGGGCTTGTTCAATTGCTTTTCTCTTTCCCTCGCCACGCCGAGACAGTTTGCAATTTTGCAGCCTTTGTGGAGCACGTGCTGACTTTTCAGCACCGCTCCAAACCCAGCTTCCTCTTGGACTGGGAGCACAGTGTGTGCTGTGGGGACTGGGGGAGGGGAGGGGGTTTCCCTCTGGGGGTCGAGCCCCCAGGTGTGCCCTTGAAACAGAAGGAAGCACTTCCGCATTTACAGCCTCTGAGCTCTCTTCCATCGCCTTTGTGGCCTGGCACACATCATTTTGCTCCCTCATCCTAGGTTTGTTCATCTGCAAAATGAGGATATTAACACACTCCCACAGATAGTGTGGAAACTATGTTTCAAAACTTTCAATACACCGAAGAGCACAGGTCAAACATACAGGCTTGGCATAGTGACGCAGACCTATAATCCCAACTACTAGGTAGGCTGATGCGGGAGGATCATGAATTGTAGACCACCCTGGGCAACTTCACAAGATCCTATCTCAAAAAGACCAAACTGAACCGAACTAAACAGAGCCCAACCAAATGAAATGGCTGGGAGTATAGCTCAGTGTGAAGGCTGTGGGTTGACTACATAGTAGTACCAAAAAAAGTTTTGTTTTAAAACTTAAAAAATCATAATCACGTATACTTTCTTCTTTTTTTTTTTTTTTTTGGTTTTTCTCCGGTACCGGGAACCGAACTCATGACCTTGTGCTTGCCAGGCAGGTGCTTTGCCACTGAGCTAAATCCCCAGCCCCAATCACATATACTTTCTACTTATGGTTATAAATTTTTTTCATCAAAGTCATGCAAACACAAGTAGATTTTATTTTATTTTATTTTATTTTATTTTATTTTATTTTATTTATCTTTTTTGTCTTTTTGAGACAGGGTCTCACTATGCAGTTCAGGCTGGCCTTGAGCTCATTTTGTAGCCCAGGCTGGTCTTGAACTCGCAATGATCCTTCTGCCTCAGCCCCCGAGTGCTGGGATTGCAGGCGTGTGCCACCACGCCCGGCTACACAATAGATTTTAAAATGAGAATTTCAACTCTATAAACACTTTTTGGGTGTCGTTGTGTACCAGGCCCTGCTGGAGATGTGAGAATAAAGCATCTAAGATAGAGACTTGCCTTGTGCAGCTTTAATTGCGGAGCATTTAGCTCAGTGTGGAAAGCATAAAAGATAATGAATAAACATCTACTGATGTTGAAAATTTATTGAGCCTTGCTTGCTGTTCAATGCTCAACCCTGTGATCAGCGCATAAGCGGATATTAAAATAACAGCTAGCGCTTGTCAAGGCTTAGTAGATGCTAAGGGCGGTGCTTGA